CTGAGGTTGTCTCTGTGGGGGTGGGGTCAAGAACACTCTGATGATGTCACTGTGGGGGTGGGGTCAGGAATGCTGTGATGTCACTGAGGTTACTGTGGGGGTGGGGTCAGGAACACTGATGTCACTGAGGTTACTGTGGGGGTGGGGTCAGGAATGCTGTGATGATGTCACTATGGGGTGGGGTTAGGAATGCTGTGATGTCATTGAGGTTGTCCCTGTGGGGGTGGGGTCAGGAACACTGTGACGTCACTGAGGTGTCACTGTGGGGGTGGGGTCCACAGGATACTGTGATGCCACTGAGGGTGTCACTGAGGGGGGCGGGGTCAGCAGCAGGGACTCTGTGATGTCACTGAAGTTGTCACTGGCTGGGGGGAGGACTCAGAAGAAGACAGAGCCAGAAACAAGACCCGGAGGGAAGGTCTAAGCCCCGAGTTGGGAGTTTTGGAGAGCTGGGCTGTCTTCCCTGAGTCAGTCGTATGTGACAGGGTGTTGGGGTTCAAGGATAGGTGTGGTGCCTGAGGTCACTGTATCTCCCAGACACTCACCGTATGGCCATGGCCCACGCTTGCTCAGAGATGCTCTGCTCTCAGTCAGGGGCACTCGGGCTAAGGCGGCCAGCTCCAAGATGAAGGTCTGCTCAGCGTCCTGTGGGCAGAGGGAGGGTGGGTGGAGTTTATCTTTCAATCTGACTTTTTCCTAGCCATTATCTGATTTTGCTGTGTAGATGGGTGGGAATATGAGAATGGGATGCGTTAACCTATCCACAGGGGGATTGGCTATCTACCGTTCCAGAAGAGGATTGACCAGTCTCAGCCATCTACAAGTGGACTGGCGAATCTCACCACTGAATTGAGCAAGCTAGCAGCAAAAGGCAGAAAGATCTTCTGGCACCACTGTAGAAGCAGTAAGAAAATGTTCCTCCAGCAACACCTATGGCACCAGCAACACCTATGGCCAAACTGAGGACCTGATGTGAGATGGGACACTGCAGTGGAGAGAGCCAATACTGGCAGGACTGAGAACTTTGTAACACTGGCCTAAAGCCAGGAGGCTTGAGTCTCAGGTATCTGTGAATACATTTTGGGAGCTATCCTTACTGAATTCTACTCCCAACATGGATTAAAACCTTTTGACTTCCCTCAAAGCAGTAAGATTGGTATTGAGATGAGTAGAAAGAGGTATAGGAGCGTGGGGGAAATGTCTGACCTCATGGGAATTAGTTTTGTGTTGCTGATGTTGTTGCTGGGGACAGTTCCCCTTTGTGACGTTGGTGAAGGACAGATACAGCTGTCTCCATGTGGCCCTTGCTCTTTTTTTACAGCTGGTGTCAGAAGTGGGATTTGATGCAAAGGCACCAGACTCATGGAAATGTGGGGTTTTGTAAGAAGTTTGGGTCTTGGGATGTGCAGTTAAAAAAATTACTTTTGAAGCTACGGAAATGGAAAGAAAAGCAGCTTTTTTGCCTGACACAAGGCCACAGGCCCCAGGCCATAAGCACTTGTGTGGGTAAAATGGACTGGAAGTGGAGTTTGAAGTTGAAACTGTTAATTTCTTGGAAAGTTTAGATGTTTAAGTTTTTGTTGACTTAACTATGTGAATATTGCTGGAGTTTTTGTTCATGTTGTTGTTGTTATAGGCTGTTGAGTCACCTGTGACTCATTGTAACCCTCTGTACAACAGCGCTGAAGCCTTCCTTATTCTGAGCCAGTCTCACTGACTCTGACACACCTACCTTCATTACCCCACTTACTGCATCGATTCATCTCATGTGGGGTCTTTCTCTCTGTGCTGTCCCTCCACCCTTCCAAGCATGATGTCCTTCTCCAAGACAGGTCCCACCTGGTCACGTGCCCAAAGTATGTGAGATAGAGCTTTGAAATCCTAGCCACCAAGGAGAAACTTAGTTTCACCCTCTCTAAGACAGATTATTTGTTTTCTTGGCAGTTCATGGTATGTTCAAGACTCTTCTCCAGCACCACAACTCAAAGGCATGGATTCTTGTTCTATCATCCTTAGTCGTCAGCTCTCTGATACATAGCAAGTAATTGTGAAGACCATAGCCTGGATCAGGTGCACCTTAGTCTTTAGACTGACATCGTTGCTTCTCAGTACTCTGGAGAGGTCCCTGACCGCAGATTTTCCCAGTACAATCTGTCTTTTGATTTCTTGACTGCTGATGCCTAGAGTGTTGACTGTGGAGCCAAGCAAGCTGTAATTGTTAATAACCTCACTCTCTTCTCCATTTATCATGGTGCTGTCAATTGGCCCAGTGGTGAGAATCTTTGTCTTACTGATATTGAGTTTCAATTCATATTGAAGACCACAGTCCTTGACCTGCAAGGAAGTGCTTCAGGTTCTCTTCAGTTTTGGCAAGCAAGGTTGTGTTACCTGCATAATGTAGCTTGTTGATGAGTTTTCCTCCAATCCTGATGCCACATTCCTCCTCATAAAGTTCAGCCTCATGAATGATCTGTTCTGCATATAGTTTGAAAAGTTATCAAGACAGGATGCACTACTTTCCTGATTTTGAACCATGCAGTGTTTCCTTGGACTGTTCTGAGGACAGCTTCTTGGTCTGAGCGTAGGTTTTGTATGAGCACAATGAAATGTTCTGGGACTCCCACTCTCTTCAAGGTCAGCCACAGTGTGTTGTGACCCACACAGTCAAATGCCTTTGCATAGTCAATGAAACACAGATAGACATTCCTCTGGTATTCTCTGCTTTCTGCTAAGATCCATTTGACGTTGATGATAAAGTCTCTAGTGCCGCTACCTCTTCTAAACCTAGCTGAACTTCTGGCAGTTCTCTGCCAATGTACTGTTCCAGTAATTTTTGGATACTCTTCAGCAGGATTTTGTTTGTATGTGATATCAGTAATATTGTTTGATAATTTCTACTCTTTGTTGTGTTACCTTTTTTTGGAATGGGAATAAATATGGATCTCTTCCAGTCATTTAGCCAGGTAGTTTTCTTCCAGAGCTCTTAACACAACCTGCTGAGCATATCCAAGGCAGATCTGTTTGTTGAAATATGTCCATTGGTATTCCATCAATTCCTGGGGCTTTATTTTTGCCAAGTCCTTCAGAGCAGCCTGCACTTCCTCCTTCATCACCATTGCCTCTTGATCATACATTGTTTCATTAAATTCTTCTATGTTAATCAATTATTTTTTTATTAATTTAGTTTGTTTATTTTTCATTTCAATGAACATCTACAGAGATTTTGGAATTCCATTCATTCATTGTT